GGGCTCGTTCGACTTCGGTGAGACCGTGTGGTTCAAGGCCGGCTCCCAGATCTTCTCCGAGGGTGGCCTTGACTACCTCGGCAACCCCTCCCTGGTGCACGCCCAGTCCATCCTCGCCATCTGGGCCACCCAGGTCCTTCTCATGGGTGCCGTCGAGAGCTACCGCGTGGGTGGCCTCGCTGGCTTCCAGGAGGTTGAGGACCCCATCTACCCCGGCGGTGCCTTCGACCCCCTTGGTCTGGCTGATGACCCCGATGCCTTCGCTGAGCTGAAGGTGAAGGAGCTCAAGAACGGCCGTCTCGCCATGGTGTCCATGTTCGGCTTCTTCTTCCAGGCTATTGTCACCGGCAAGTCGCCCCTGGAGAACCTGAACGACCACTTGGCCGAGCCCTCCATCAACAACGCCTGGGCCTATGCCACCAGCTTCGTCCCCGGTGCCTAAATGCGTGAATTGTGTGCATAATTATATGTAGTGCAATTTTCGCTCCGAATCTGTGAAACAGCGAACCGAATAAACGAATCCTGTGCGTGCAGTGAACGAGACCAGGCCACGCTTGTTTCACACTCCGCTCAAATGTTTTCACAAATGCGAGGGAAAACATCCCTTCCAAATAAAAAGATGTTAACCCTGCTCTAGAAAACATCCCTTCCAAATAAGGAAAAGTAGTTGCCAATTTAGTTGTGCCGAACTGTACTTATATGCACATAACATTGCGTTGTACATTAGCGCGTTCGGGCGGTGCATTCCCATCCAAACATCTCAGCTATTACACAAACAGCAGACATCCATTCATGTGACCACTGTCCACACCAAACAGTCTTCCCCAATACCACTCTCTGATCGTCTCCTTGCCTGCTACTCCACACAAGCTCCTGCAATTCTTCTATTCCTGTCGAGGCCTGACTTAGCGACGAGTGCACCGCTGTCTATTTCGCTGTCTCGTCTGGTAGTCTGCAGCTCTCGGCGACACCGATAGTTCTTGTACTTTTCTTCGTCGTTTCATTTTTTTTTCTTCGGCACACCAAATAGCGAAACAGCATCAGGGCGAGCTGCATTTTCGCGTCGTAGCAATTGTGCACTTTCGCACGGCTTTCAGCCGGCGTTCCTCCCCCTTCCGCACCGGTGCATTTTCGCCCACCATCGAGGCTGCCTATGGCGGATCATCAGGGCGAGGAGCATGAGGGAGTGGCGGACAGAAGAGGCGGGCTGGCTCACGGAACGAAGGAGAAGAAACCGCGGTGCGGGTGGGAATGGGAAGGGACGGGAGGGAGCAGGAATGGACGGAGACGGGATGGAGGGGAAGGAATGGAGCAAGCGGGATAGGGATGGGTTAGTGCGAGAATCACACCGTTGGGATCTCAGCCTGCTTTCGCTTCCCCTTCTCTCCGCCACGCCGCGCGAGGTCCCACTGCCCATCTTTTCGTTCCGTGCACTTCGGTCGTCCTCCCGCGTTGCATCCTTGCGTGCATTGTGCATACTTCCAACCCAACTTGTGTGTGGGTGCAATCGTGTGTGTGTGTGTGTGAGTGCGTGCACAAGGTGCACGACAAGCCCTGTGTGCGACTGGTTCCCTTCTCACTGCGTAAGATTTTGTGAAATTGCGTGGGCAATTGCGCCCATGCATCCATCCATGCATCCATCCATGCATCCATCCATGCATCCATCCATCCATCCATCCATCCATCCATCCATCCATCCATCCATCCATCCATCCATCCATCCATCCATCCATCCATCCATCCATCCATCCATCCATCCATCCATCCATGCATGCATGCGTGTGCGCCTGTATGCGTGCCGTGTCGTGGCATCATCACACGCAAGGTGCAGTGGGATGAGGGCGTCGTAATGGTTTCGTTTTGAGTCAACTCAAAACCTGTGCGCCTGCGTGCATCCCATCCCATCAGGCGCAAGGTGCAGTGGGACGAGGGCAACTTGACGTACAACGAGGAGCACAAGAGCGCCACCATGACCATCGACGAGCCCAAGACGCCCTTCCACCAGCTCTCGCTCGACCCGGAAGAAGGTACGCCACGCTGCGCTACGCTAGGCTACGCTACGCCCCCCTTGTCTATTTTTGCGGCACCTTAAAAATCATCTCTGTTAATGCAGAGCAGAAGAAGGTACGTTACGTTCCCCTTCCTTGCCTTCACCATTCATCCCCTCACTGCCAGCTACCCCAACACCGCACAGCGCCTTCCCCTTTGGCCCCACTACTCCCCCCCGCTCCCTGCTCCCTGCTCCCCGCTCCCCGCTCCCCGCTCCCTGCTTCCTGCTCCCTACTCCCCTTTCTGCCTGTTTCGCCTCTCTCTCTCTCTCTCTCTCTCTCTCTCTCTCTCTCTCTCTCTCTCAAGCGGTCCGTTTATTGCTTGGAAAACTGGGTACAGGCTAGGCAAGGCAGGCAAGGGGCAGCAGGGCAAGGTACGTGCATGTTTGGGGGCTCTCTCTCTCTCTCTCTCTCTCTCTCTCTCTCTCTCTCTCTCTCTCTCTCTCTCTCTCAAGCAGTCCTTTATTATGTTTATAAGGGGTACATAGGTACAAGCAGGCTTATGTATGTCCTAGTGTCCCCGAGCATCCTACTGCTGCCCGGGCCACTTGTCGCAGGTAGGTTCAATGGTGGCTTCCAGTTCTCACCAGGTAAGAGGTTCGTCTAGGGGGCGGTCGTGGCTGAAAGCTTGGCCTGTCACCTGGCCAATTTTCGCATGGAGGGTGATTGCCTGCTGCCGCTGGAGGGTGACTGACCACCTCTGGCGATAGCTGTGCAGTACCTTCTTTGCCACCGCCGACTTTTCGTCGGCCTGGTGGTTCCGGCAGGCTGAGAGGGCAGCCAGTACTCGGAGGAACTCGAGTGTGTCGGGGGAGCAGCAGCCGTATGTCTCAGTGGTGACTCCCAGCACCTTCACAAAGGTGAGTCGTTCGTCGTACAGGTCCCGCTTCTTGCCCTGCATCTCTGCCGCCATCCACCCCGTCCCCTTTCGTGCTGTTGGGTCGCGGGTTGAGATGGGGTCGGTGACTGTGACGTCACAGACCCATACCGCGCCTGAGTCCGGGCATCGGAGGGTGATGTCGGCGCGGCGTTGGGCAGTTTCGGGTAAGTAGAGCGTGGATTCCATGTGGGCCACGAAGTGGGATTCTCGGGCCAGTCGCATCCCGAGGTTCACGAGCGCGTCGTGGGTCCGCTTTGGACCCCCGCCTAGGGTGCACCGTAGCATGTGGTTGGGCAGCCGGTTGTCTGGTATCGCCTGCTTTTCCCGGCAGTTGCATTTGCCGGGTAGGGAGTGCTGCAGGCCCATGCGGAAGGCTAGGGCCGTGGCAAATTGCCCCTTGCTCATGCTTAGGTCCGGGGAGAAGGGGATGGCGACTAGCCAGTCCCCTGCTCCTGGCCCGAGCAGGGAGAGGAGGCGCTGGGTGTGGCCCAGGAGGGGGTTGAGTGGCATGTGTTTGGAGTCTGCTACCAGCCGTGCGTGCCTGGCCCCGTGTACCTCCAATGCTAGGGCATGCTGGAGCTTGGCGCCAGGTTCGTCGCGCGGGCGGGTGAGTGTGGACTGCGCTGGTTCCGGGAGTGCCGCTTCCAGGCAGTTGAGCAGGTGGTGTAGGGGCGTTTGGGCGGTGAAGGGCGGAGTGAGGAGGTGGAGGAGGTCGGCGAGGGGTGAGGAGTCAAGGGGTTCCATGGAGCGGAGGAGGTCCCCGGCCTGTAGTGCGGAGGCCAGGTAGCTGTAGCTGCCTTCCGCGGCGGGGTCAATGAGGCCGAGGCCTCCTATGGTGATCGGCAGGGTCGCCTGTCGCCAGAGGAGGTCTCGGCCTTTAGCGTCCCGTGGCTGCTGGAGCTCGCATGACTTGAGCGCAGCTTCCAGCAGGGACTTCCCCCACTGCGTCCATTCCTCGGGGGGGAGGAGGTCGGTGGGGGTGGTGCGGAGGAGGTAGGACGCCCTCCTCGTGATGCAGCGGGTGAGGAGCAGCAGCGCAACTTGCGGGTGCAGTTGCTCTACCAGGGGGAGCGCCGCTGCCGCTTTTTCGAGCGTGCGGCGGATGATGTTCCCGCATCCGTGGGTGGTGCCGATGGGGCTGCCCAGGACCTTGATGGCGTCGTGGGTGAGTGGTACTCCGGCGGGGATGAGCGCGGGGTCCACCGGTGTGGGTGACCAGGCCGCGCACTTGCTGGCGTTGCAGGTGAGTCCAACCGCTGCTGCCCGACCTGTGAGGGCATAGAAGGCGGCCGCGCATGCCGGCGGCGGGCCGATGATGGTCACGTCGTCGGCGTATGCCAGTATGAGGACGTCAGGGTAGTCCTCTGCTGTCATGGTCAGCGCCTGGTGGAGGGCGAGGGCGAACAGCATGGGGCCTAGCGGGTCGCCTTGCCGTACGCCCCGCTCGCTGATGAGCGGGTCAGCGCCGAACGCGTGGTCGAGCAGCAGGCTCGATGGCCTTCCGTAGAAGAGGCGGGTTAGGGGCAGCAGCCCTTTGAGAGGGCTGTCGCGTAGGGCGCGGAAGAAGGCGATGCGTTCGACTGAGTTGAACGCGTTGGAGAAGTCCACCTGGAGGAGGAGGTGTTCGGGGTGCTGTTCGAGGTGGGTTCTTGTAGCGTGCACCACCGTCTCGCCCCCTCGCTTCATCGCCACTCCGAACTGCAGGGGTGCGAAGTGGGCTTGGGCCAGGGTCGTCGTGAGGTGCAGGCTGGCCTTGCCGAAGAGGCGTAGTAGGCACTCGCCGATAGCGATGGGCCTGGTTCCGCCGTCGGGTTTGGTGAATGCCAGCAATCTCGAGGCGGTGAGGAGGTCCGCCGCCTCTAGCGGCACTTGCCCTGCGAGTGCCGCGTTGGTCACTTCTGTGAGCAGATTCAGGACGTCAGCGTTCGAGGCGGCTGCGTCCCGCAGATGTTCGAAGCACATACCGCTTGGCCCTGCCCCGACCCCATTCGGGCTCCGTCGCAGTACGGTTCTGAGCTCTCGTGGGGTGATGGTGAGAAGCGGCTGCTGCGGCTCTGTAGTGGCGTCGGTGGGTGGTGTGCTTGAGAATGTCGCCCAGTTGGGGAGGGCGTGTTCGGCGGCGGGGTGTTTGTCTCGGAGGGCGTTAAGTGTCTCCAGGGTGGGTTCGCACACCGGGGTGGATTCCAGGGCTTGGAGGGCCTTCCGCAGATTTCCGCGCTTAGTGAGTGTTTCCGCTCGGGCTAAGTGCCCGGCGGTGTCATTCGCGTGGCGTGGGGGTCGTGGTCGTGAAATCGAGGTCACGGCCTCGTCGTACAGTGACTCCCAGGCGCCTGTGGCGAATTTGCGACAGCGTCGTAACATTCCATCCCAGTCCGGCTTCCTCGTCGACGTGGTTGCGAGTGTCAGGCGAGGGAGGAGGAGTAACAGGCGCCAACCTCCTCTACTGTCCCTGTTACGCGCGAGGTGTAGCAGCGGTGTCAGCAGGCAGGACGCGAACTCCACCAGGATTTCGCGCTGTAGGCGACGTGCCAGGGGTGGGAGCCTGGAGTCGCGGAGCACGGTCATGTCCCACTCGCACACTTTGGCGAAGAGTTCGTCGTTCTTCGCCAACGCCAGAGGGGATTGTACCCGCGCTGCAGGGGCGGGTCTGCGGGCGTCTGTCGAGCCGCGGCGGGTGTTGGATGCGGCGGCTCGCCGGTTGGATTGGCCGGGCCGCACATTTGCGTCTCGGGCGGGGGAGTCCTCCAAATCTCCCTCGTCTGGGGCGCCTTCCCAGTTTACCCCGATTGGAGGGGTATAAGTGGGGTCGTTTGCGTGTTGAATTTCATCGTCCTCATCATCAGCCCCCTCCGTGTTCCCTTCCGCTGCTCCCCGCGTAGCTCCTCCTCCTGGTGTGTCTGCAACTGGAGTGTCAGCACTTAGCCAATTTTCCGTCCCTCGGTCCGTCCCTCCGCCCCCGCCTGCTTCTGACTCCGTCGCTCCATTAGCGGTGGCTGCTGCAGCGGCTGGGTGTGCTCCCCGGCGCCGGTCTTCGCGTTGTAGACGCGCGGCGACGCCGCGGAAGGTTGCAGCGCTTGTCGACGCTCGCCCGAGCCCTCGTCCGCCCCTCGTTCCTCTGTGCCCTCGGGTTGTGCTTCTCGCCCGCTCCCCCCCCGGGGCCGCGGTTGTACTTGCGCGGGCCGTGGCTCGTGTGTGCGGGGCTCTGCCTCTTTCCGGCTGCGCTAGAGATGACGCAGGGGTTGCTCTTCTCCCCCTCGCGCCTGCCCCTACGTGAGGCGGAAGCGTCCCCGTCGCCGGTGGGTTCTCCTTCCGGCGTCTCGCTGGCTCTGTCGCCAACGTCTCAGCTGCGCTTGGAGTTTCGGCAGCAGCGGGTCCAGGTGGCAGCGATCGCGAGCGCTCTCGAGCAGCTTCTGCGGCTGCCTCGGTCCGCTGTTGGCGACCGGGTCGCGTGTTCTCCGCCGTCGCCTGCGCCCGCGCCCGCGATTGGACGAGAGGGTTTCGGGGGAAGTCCCATGGATCGCTCCCCGTGTCGCCCATCCGCCCTGTCGCCGGTTCGGCCGTCGTCGTTCCCTTCTCCGTCTTGGCTTCCGCCGTCGCCGCTTCCGCCGTCGCCCCTTCCAGTCCCCCCGGCCCCTCTGGCTCCCCCTCCGTCGAGGGGGTTCGCCGGTGGTCCCGACTCCTCTCCCCGCGGGGTCCTCCAACCACCTCCTCTGCTTCCTCCAAAGTCGCCAGCGGGACCACCAGCCGCTGTCGGACACGACGTCGTATCGGGTCAGGGCGTGTCCGCGGGGTCTCCGCCACTGCCGTTTCGTCCGATGAAGCGTCCCCGCGGGGGCGCCGCGGCGGGCTCTCGGGCAGGGTCACCTCCGACCGTAGTGCCCGGAAGACGAAGGGACCGCTCTCCACCTCTCTCCGGTCGTCCTCAGAGGTCGGGTTTGCGGGTGGGGCGGGGTATGCCGCCGACACCAGTGGATGTGCTCGGCGACCCGCCGCCGATTCCTCGTCCGCCTGTCCGCCTGGCGTTGCCGCACGCGTTCTCGCCAGTAGAGGCGATGGCCGGCGTCGTCGCATGTATTGGCGCGGTGGCGGAGGTGCTGGATTGTCTCCGCCCACCGCCGCTGCAGGCGCCTCTGCGGAAACCTGAGGCGGGACGGTCGTGGCGGCCCGCGATGTCTCGCCGCCAGCAGCGACGCGCGATGGAGGCCGCGTCGCTACTCCTCTGGCGGCTGGCCTATGGGTTGCCGCCAGGAGCAGGGGCGGGGGAGCTGGATCCCGCTCCTCGCGCCGTTGATGAGTTGAATCGGTCGCTCGTGGCGAATCAGCGCCCGGCGATCTTGGCCGCTTGCGCGGCGGTGCTTCGGGCTTTGGAGAGTCGGGCCGGGGCCCTTGTCCCGCCGTCGGCTTTGGAGGTGTAGTAGGTGGGCGGTTGTCTGGCGTGTAGGCCAGGTCCCCGCCATCGTGCGCTGTGGGTGGCGCCGTAGCCATAGGCTAGTTGCTAGGTTGTAGCCCCCTGTGGAGGCATGCTTGTATGCTGTAATGTCTCTCTCTCTCTCTCAAGCGGTCCGTTTATTGCTTGGAAAACTGGGTACAGGCTAGGCAAGGCAGGCAAGGGGCAGCAGGGCAAGGTACGTGCATGTTTGGGGGCTCGAAACTACACGAGCTCCCCTAGGGGCTCTGCTATGGCAAAGCAGTCCCCGGGTGCCATGTCGGCGTCAGGGGTACCCACTGGGGTGTGGGGGGCAGGGGAGGCTTCATTAACTTTCCCCAGGTAAGCCAGGGCCTGTGCCCGCTGCAGCGTCACTGACCAGCGTTGGCGAAACTGGTGGAGCAATTTTGCGGCCTGGTAGGAGCTGGGGTCCGCATTGAAAAGTCTCCTGGCCCCTGTGTCAGCCAGTAGCTTCAAGAAGGTAGGGACCTCGGCGCATGGGCAGCCGTATGTCTCGACTGCAAGTGGGAAAAATCCGACATACGGAGCCCGATTCCGGTAATGGGAGATTTTCTTGTCAGCTTGCTCCCGGGCCATGTATCCGCGTCCTTTTCTTGCATCCGGGTCCCGGCTGCTGATGGGATCTGTGACAGTGACGTCACAGATCCAGACGGCTCCGGAACTGCGGTCTCGGAGGGCGAGGTCGGCCTTGTGGCCGTCTACGGGGCTGTAGATGGTGGTCTCCTTGGTGACTATAAAGTCAGCGTCCCGGGCCATCCGTATGCTCTCGTCCCGCAGGGCATTATGGGTGTCGGTCCGACCGTGCCCGGTGCCACACCGGAGCAGGTGGTTGGGCAGCCTAGTGTCGAGGATTTCAAATTCCTCGGCGCAGTTGCAAGTGCGGGGGGCTGGGAATGGAAGGCCGAGGCGGAAGGCCAGGGCAATGGCGAAGTGTGGAGCTTCGAGGCGGAGGGATGGGAAGATGGGGATGGCATGAAGCCAGTCCCCTGCTCCATATCCAGCCAGGGAAAAGAGGCGTTGGGTGTGCCCAGAGAGTGGGTTTGGGTCCATTGTCCGCGTGGCTGCCACCTGGCCGGCGTATCGCACGGCCTGGACTTCGAGGGATAAGCGGTGTTGGAGTGGGGAGCCGGAGGGTTCCCTCCTCTCGGAGTGCAGGAGCTCCCGGGCTCGTGGGGGCATCGCCGTTTCACACTTCGCCAGCCAGGTATGCAAGTGGGTGGGGCTGGTGAAAGGTGGCGTGAGGTGCCGGACAGCGTCAGCCAGGGGCCCTCCTGACGCTGCTGGGAGGGCAGCCAAGAGGCCCTGGGCTTGGGTGAGGCTGGTGAGGTAGGCTGGGTGTCCCTCAATTGCGGGGTCGGTTAGACCCAGTCCTCCAAGGGAGGGAGGGAGGGACGCTTGAGCCCAAGTGCGCGCCTGCTCCACCTCCCCTCGAGGCGTTGGAGGTTGCAGGCACGCAGGAGGGTATGGAAGAGCTCCCTACCCCAGTCGGACCAGACTTCCAAGGGTAGGAAGTCAAGGGGGGTGGTGCGGGTTAAGTATGAGACACGCCGGGACACGCAGCGTGTGAGGAGGAGGGATGAGGACTGAGGGTCCATTGTGGCCAGTGTGGCGAGGGGTTCGGCTAGCAGGGCTAGCTGGGTGCGGAGGAATGCGGCTGTGCCCTCGGTTGTGCCTATAAAGCTGCCAAGCACGCGGACGCCTTCAGTGTTGAAAGGTATGTCTGGGGGAAGGCGGTCGGGTGCAGGGCGCTCGGCTGACCATGCTGCGCATTTCGCGGGGTTGTGGGAGAGACCGATGCGGTCCATGGCGGCTGTGAAGGTGAGGAATGCCGAGGTGCAGGCGTCCGGGTTGCCGACGAAAGTGACGTCGTCAGCGTATGCGAGGCAAAGGACCTCGGGGTGGGCCGCGGCGGTTGCCTGGAGGGCTGGGTGGATGGCTGCTGCGAAGAGGAGGGGGCCCATGGGATCCCCTTGGCGAACTCCCCGTGCGCTGAGTAGGGGCGGGCTATCAAACTCAGCGTCGAGATAGAGCAGAGACGGCGCGCCATACGAGAATTGGATAAATGGAAGGAGCGGGCGGAGGGGCGAGGTGTTGATTGCGTGGATGATTGCCCCACGGTCAACGCTATTAAAGGCGTTCGAGAGGTCGACTTGTAGGATGAGTGAGCCTGGGCGCGCAGAGGTGAAACCCCTGGTGGCGTGGATGATTGTTTCCCCGCCGCTCCTGATGGCTACCCCGTATTGGTGTGGTAGGAAGTAGTCTTGCGCGGATTGCGTAGAGGAGATTAGCGCGGCTTTTGCCGCCAGTCGATGGAGACACTCCCCTATTGCGATGGGGCGGGTACCCCCATCTGGCTTGGTAAGGGCCAGGAGGCGTGAGGAGGTAACGAGCTGGCTGACCTCGTGCGGCAGGTTACCCGCCAGTAACCGCTGGACGAGCTTGTGGAGGTTTGTGGCGACGGCGGGGTTGGACAGCGAGGCGTCGCGAAGGTGCTCGAAGGTCATCCCCGAGGGGCCTGCCCCAACTCCATTTTCGGAGCGGGCGAGGAGCTTCGCGAACGTAGCGAAATCGACTGTCGGCGGCCTGCAGTTTTCGTCAAGCCGTGGCCAGGTGAGGCTTTCGACAAGCGGAGGGGGGTGTTTTGACTTCAGCGCGTCCAGGACCGTGGGGGTGGACTTGCTGACTGGGGTCGAAGTCAACGCGAGCAGTGCCCGTCGCAAACTGCCTCGTCGTACCAAGCCCTCGGCGCGGGATATTTTCCCGAGAGTGTCAGGTACGTGGCGGGGAGGGGGTGGCAGGGTGACAGCGAGGCAGCAGCTTGGTACAGTGTGTCCCACTGGCCCGCGAGAAATTGTCGGAAGTCGTCGTTCCGTCGCGGGCCAGTCAGGGCGTCGAGGCGAGGGTAGGCGAAGTGTGAGGCGCGGGAGGTAAAGTAACAGGGTCCAACCCTCGATGGAGGTTGGATGTTTGGCGAGGAAAAGGAGGGGTGTCAGGAGGGTGAGCGCGAAAAGTTGACGGATTTGGGGGGGTAACCGGCGGGAGAGAGGGGGTTGGCGACTGTCGCAGAGAACTGCGACATCCCACGTGGCGATGACGGCGAATCTGGAGGGGTCATTCGCCAGTTCTTCCGGGGACAACTGCTGGGCTGCCTGGGGGTGGGTGTCCAGCGGTGCCCGAGTATTGTGCAAACGGCTGGACCCTCGTCCCCTAGATCTTGGAGATGGGTCAGTCTCTCGTCCTCCAGCGCGCCTGTTTGCTTCGACGTGTTCCGCCTCACTGGAGGTCTCAGTCGGGGGGTCTCCCTGGTTCCCTGGTATATAAGTTCCGTCCGCCCGTTCCTCCTCATCAGTCGTTCGTTGCAGTTCCGAGGCACTTAAAGCCCTGTTCGCTGCCTGCTGGAATCCGTTCAGCTGGTCCTCCATCGGAGGACAGATTGCCACGCCTTGCCGCCCCGCGACCGCGCCCTCCGGCGTCCGTGTGTGGAGTCTTCCGCGTCCGCCTCCGTGGTTTCCTCTCGGGGCGGCCCTGGTCGTCGTTCGGCTTTCGTGCGAGTCGTGGGGGGAGCCGAGTGCGGTGCGCCTCCTCGGGATGGAGCGACCAGCGCGGGAGCGTTCTGCCGATTTGGAGAGTACTGGGGACAGCGAGTCGCCCCAAGGTCGGGCGAGTCCTCCAGGCGTCGTCGAACCGGGATTGGGAGCGCGGGCTCCTCGCCCCTCGGACGGCCCGCCGACAGACTCCGAGCGGATGCGGGGGCAGTCGCGGGGCAGGACTGCCGCGCCCCCGAGACACGAGGAGAAATCCCCGAGCGCGCCGTGGAAATTGGACGTGAGCCAGTGGCGCGTGGCGAGGTGCGGCAGTCACCGCGCCAGCAGCATCCCTCTCGCCGAGGAACGCCTCAGCGCCGCCCACAGGCGGGGCCAGGGCAGCAGCGCCGGACTCCGCAGGCGCCGCGCGGGCGTTCGGGCCAGCGCGTCCGGCTGGAGGGCTGGCGGGGGGAGTAACCGTGGGTCCGCGCGGAGAGGCGCCTAGGGCGGGCCGCGGCGACTCTCGAGGGCTTGTTCCGCAGTGTCGCCCAACCCCAGCAGGCTCTGGCGTATTCTCCGCAGCTTCTGGCGCCCCAGCATACCAGCAGGCGCACTTGCCTCCCGTGCGTTTGCCCCTTCCTCAGGCACCGGCGCCGGCATTCCCTCCCCGCAGTGTGACATCTCTCCCGCTCCTTGACAGCCAGCACCTCTTGGCGTCCCTTCCCTCTGCACCTCCTCCGCCAGTCCTCCCCTCGGCCGGTCCCTTCGATCCGCGTCGGTTGGACGTGCGGTCCGCGGAGATACTGCCGCCCTGGCAGCCGACGCTCCCGGATGTGTCGGTGGTGGGAAGGTCCCGTGGCCCACCGCCGTTGGTGGCACCGCATCGTTCGGCGAGCGGGCGACAGCGCCCTTTGTCCCCCCCCGCCGTTCGCTGGCGTCACCGACTGGAGTTGAGGGGGGGGCAGAAGCAGCGGAGATGGGGGGAGCGGAGTCCACGGGCGAGGACTCGCCTCCTGGGGACCAGGGGCGGCGTCGCTCGGGTGGGCTGCGGATGCCGCAGAGGGCGCAGCTGGAGCGCCTGCGGGGGAGGGAGCGGCTGGCGGAGACTGCGATCCCAATCGCCACGCTTCGTCGGCTCTGGCACGCGCAGAGGGCGATGGGGTATGCCGTGGCGATGCTGACGGACTCACACTCCGTTCTACGGAGCTCAGTGAGCCCGTGCAAGATGCCTCACGATCCGCTCCATCGCTGCGCGATGGCTGCAGCGGATCTGGCGGTCGTGTCCACGCGAGTGCAGCCTGCGCCCGCCTCGGGAACCGTGTTGGACCCGCGCCTGCTCGCCGTGATGCGGACAGTATCGGCGAGCGTAGACTCGGCTGCAGCTGTAGACATCGTTGGCGGTGCCGTGTCAGCGCTGATGCTCCTGGGGGACTATGTGAGGGCCCTGCTTGAGGAGGCTGGAGCGGACGAAGCCGCATGATGGGCTGCCGTCGTGTGTAGGTTCTGGTTGGTGAAGTGCGCTCCAGCGTGAGCGCTCTGGTAAGCTCTGTGAGGCTCTCCATGCTGTTTGCCCAGTGTAGCGTTGGCGGGTTGAAGATCCCGGATGCGTGTATTTGATGTTGTCGTAGTTGACTTTGTAGCCTTGTGTCCTTGCCGCCCCTCACGCGCGGCCGAAGGCCGCGCTGCGAGCGTCGGCGGCCGAAGGCCGCCGACGCGAGCCGCCACCAAGGGTTGGAGAAAAGAAAGAACTGGAAACTAAACAGGAAGAATGAGGGAGGGAGAGAGCTTATATAGCTGGAGAGGGACTCATGCTCTCTCTCTCTCTCTCTCGCTCTCTCTCTCCTCTCTCCCGCCACCAAGGGTTGGAGAAAAGAAAGAACTGGAAACTAAACAGGAAGAATGAGGGAGGGAGAGAGCTTATATAGCTGGAGAGGGACTCATGCTCTCTCTCTCTCTCTCTCTCTCTCTCTCTCTCTCTCTCTCTCTCTCTCTCTCTCTCCCTATCTCTCTCTCTCTCCTCCCTTCACCCTTCGCTGCCTCCGCCTTGAATAGGTGGGTGGGAGGCAGTGAGCTGGCAGCAAAGCTAGCAGTGGAGAGGGGCGCAGCGCTCCATGCACAATGTGCTCCTGTCCTCCTCTCTGCTTTCATGTTCTCTCACCCAGGCCCCACCTCGAATAGGTGCGGGGCAGTGTGCTGGCAGTTAATCCGGCAGCAGAGAGGGGCGGAGCGCCATCTTCCTTCCTCATTGCCCCCTTCCTCCTCTCTCCTCTCGCCTCCTCTCCCCTCCTGTTTCCTCCACTCCCCCTCTCCCTGCCCCCTCTTCGAACAGGTGGGGGGCAGTGTGATGGCGGCTAAGCTAGCAATGGAGAGGGGCGCAGCAGTGAACGTGGGAGGGGGGCTGCACCACTGCAGCCGGCACAGGGGCATGGGATTCTGCGCCCTTGCTGACATCTCAGCCGTCGTCACCTTTGCACGCGCGTTCCTGGGAGTCAAGAGGTGCTCTATGGGAGTTAGAAGTGAACGTGGGTGGGATCTGTGTGCTTGCTCACATTTCAGTCGTCATCACCATTGCCCGCTCCTTCCTTGGAGTGAAGAGGTGAGCATGGGAGGGGGACTGGAGAGGGGAATGGGGGGAGGCTGGTGTGCAGCCGGCACAGGAGCATGGGCTTCTGTGCTCTCGCTGGCACCTCCCCGTGTCACCACCTTGGCCCACGCCTTCCTGGGAGTCACGAGGTGCTCTCATAGGGGTGGAACAATGCGTTTCACGCATTTGGTCCCCCAAGCTATGCTGTCGTGCTGCATGATGCAGTGCAGTGCTGCATGATGCAGTGCAGTGCTCCACCGTGCAGCACTTCAAACACACCTCGCATCATGCATCCTTCTATCATGCAAGCTGCAATGAATGTGCCAGTATCCTCCCTCGTATGAATGTGCAATGTCTGTTGATGCCTTCGTTACTCGTTTCCCTCCCTCTCACGATGTTGCTGCTAACCCTGCACCACCCTGCACGCCAGAGTGCTCATAGTGGATCTGGACGCACATCAGGGCAACGGGCATGAGACCGACTTGATGGGCGACGGTGCGTTGTAATGCAGTGTCTGAATTTGAATGGCAGGACGATGAGAGCAGCCAGTAAGGCGAAGGCGATGGTGTCTAGTAGTCTTCCCACTTGCTACCATATTCCGTGCTGTGCTGTCTCGTGTGCGCTGCCATGCTTCTTCCTCCTCTCCTCCCATCTCACTTCTTGGCTGCACCCTCCTCATTCGATACCTGCACCCCCACGCACCTGCCTGTACGCCCGCTCAGAAGATCGGTAAGTCCCTGCATTTGCCATCCTACCCTTGGTCCCATCGTCCCTTCTCCTTTCCCTCCGCCTCCCTCTCTCTCCTGCCTCTCCCTCCCAGCCCTGTGTTCATATTGGATGTGCACAATGCGCCCATCGTCCTCATCTTCCCCTGCACTCCTCTCCCTCCCTTTTCCTTTCCCTCCCTCTGCACTCCTCTCTCTCCTGCCTCCCTCTGCACTCCTCTATCTCCTGCCTCCGTCTGCACTCCTCTCTCTCCTGCCTCCCTCTGCACTCCTCTCTCTCCTGCCTCCCTCTGCACTCCTCTCTCTCCTGCCTCCCTCTGCTCCCCCCCTTCCCCCCTCTCCCCCTATCCATGCCCATGACTGTGAATTCTGCCTCCCTCTGCTCCCTGCCTCCCTCTGCTCCCTGCCTCCCTCTGCTCCCTGACTCTCTTTCCCAGTCGATGTGTTCATAGTGGATGTGTACAACGCAGGCATCTTCCCACAGGTGAGCACATGAGGGCATGGGCGGTGGGAGCACATGAGGGCATGGACGGTGGGAGCACATGAGGGCATGGGCGGTGGGAGCACATGAGGGCATGGGGGGGTGGGAGCACATGAGGGCATGGGCGGTGGGAGCACATGAGGGCATGGGCGGTGGGAGCACATGAGGGCATGGGCGGTGGGAGCACATGAGGGCATGGGGGGGTGGGAGCACATGAGGGCATGGGCGGTGGGAGCACATGAGGGCATGGGCGGTGGGAGCACATGAGGGCATGGGGGGGTGGGAGCACATGAGGGCATGGGCGGTGGGAGCACATGAGGGCATGGGCGGTGGGAGCACGAGGGCATGGGCGGTGGGAGCACATGAGGGCATGGGCGGTGGGAGCACATGAGGGCATGGGCGGTGGGAGCACATGAGGGCATGGGCGGTGGGAGCACATGAGGGCATGGGCGGTGGGAGCACATGGTAGTGTAGGCGGCAACTGGCTGACATTCCTAGCTAATCTTTCTTTCTTTCCCCTTCCCAACTCTACCTCACAAGAGCTCATGCTCCTCCGTCTGTTGCACTGTGTTGTGTGCCCGCACGTTGACAAAGGTCAACTGAATGGTCAGCACAACTATACAGAGCACTGTCGTGACAAATCACCTTCCCTACATCCCACCTCTCCCTGCATCGCATGCCCCTCTCCCTGCATGGCAGGACCATGAAGCCAAGGCGGCCATTCGCATCGCCAAGGAGCTCAGAGTGAGGCACTCAATTCCTTCTCCTTGGGTTTTGTGAATTATTGACGGAGAGAGAAACTAGGAGCAAATACGCGCGTTCCTCGTGCAAGACTATGCACCCCATGCACTGTGCACCATGCACCATGCTCCACGCTCCACGCTCCATGCTCCATGCTCCATGCTCCATGCTCCATGCTCCATGCTCCATGCTCCATGCACCATGCTCCATGCTCCATGCTTGATGCACTATGCACCATGCTCCATGCTCCATGCTCCATGCTCCATGCTCCATGCACCATGCACCATGCTCCATGCTCCATGCACCATGCACCATGCTCCATGCTCCATGCACCATGCACCATGCACCATGCACCATGCACCATGCACCATGCACCATGCACCATGCACCATGCACCATGCACCATGCTCCATGCTCCATGCACCATGCACCATGCACCATGCACCATGCACCATGCACCATGCACCATGCACCATGCACCATGCACCATGCACCATGCATTCACTGGTGCATCCGTGGTTCGTCCCACCGTCCCTTGCAGAGTGGCACGGGCACGAGACACTATCTGGATGTTGTCGCACAGGCACTACAGGAGGTGAGTGGTGGAGGCAGGGGGGCGGGTCAATTTCAATTGTGGGGTGGGTTTAAGGCATGCAGGAGGTGACGTGTTTTTTTATTGACCAAAAGCAAGCCAGTTCAAGCACTGGAGGAGGCGAGTGGCAGAGGCATTGCAGTGTGCATCGTGCCCCACAGGCATATCTTCGCATCTACATTGCTGCTGCCCACAGTCGTACCTATCTTTCAGCTCCCTCACAACCCACCTCCCCCCCTTCCCCTACCCCCCAGGTGTCAGCATCGGTGTTCAGAGCAGATCTGCTCGTCTACAATGCCGGCACGGACATCCTTGCCAACGACCCCCTGGGCAGACTGGCGGTGCGTGGAAGGAGGGAAAAGGGTAGTGCTCCCTCTCCCTCTCTCACGTGCTCTCTTCTTCTCTGCCATTCGTTCATCTGCCCACTCCTCATCGCCCCCTGCTCTTGTGTACTGTTCTATGCTGCTCTCTGACTGGCTCCGTCCGTGCTGCCACCCTCCCTCTCTCTCCCTCTCCCTCTCACTTGCTCTGTGTTTCTCTGTGCTGTCCTCATCTGCCTTCTCATCTGCCATGTCCTCATCTGCCATGTCCTCATCTGCCATGTCCTCATCTGCCATGTCCTCATCTGCCATGTCCTCATCTGCTCTGTCCTCATCTGCCATGTCCTCATCTGGTTTGTCCTCATCTGCCATGTCCTCATCTGCCATGTCCTCATCTGCTCTGTCCTCATCTGCCATGTCCTCATCTGCTTTGTCCTCATCTGCCATGTCCTCATCTGCCATGTCCTCATCTGCTCTGTCCTCATCTGCCATGTCCTCATCTGCTTTGTCCTCATCTGCCATGTCCTCATCTGCTTTGTCCTCATCTGCCATGTCCTCATCTGCTCTGTCATCATCTGCCATGGCCGGCAGGTGTCGGCGGAGGGAGTGCAGCAGCGGGACGAAATGGTCTTTCAGTTCGCCAAGGACCATTCACTGCCCATCGTCATGCTCACATCCGGTATGCCGTCATGCTTACACTAGGTGACTTCTCGTGCATACATCATGTGTCCCGTGGTGCCATCATGTGTCCCGTGGTGCCATCATGTGTCCCGTGGTGCCATCATGTGTCCCGTGGTGCCATCATGTGTTTCGTGGTGCCATCATGTGTCCCGTGGTGCCATCATGCGTCCCACAGTGCCATTCTGGGTGACATGCATGTGTCTCTTGCACGGTCATGCTGACAACTACTGTTCGTCCATCATGCCCCATTCTGCCCAACCCTCCTCCACCCATGCCATGACCCATCTCCCTCCCTCTCTCCCTCTCTCCCTCTCCCCCTCTCTCCCTCTCCTCTCTCCCTCACTCCCTCTCTCCCTCTCTCCCTCTCTCCCTCTCTCCCTCTCCCCCTCTCTCCCTCTCCTCTCTCCCTCACTCCCTCTCTCCCTCTCTCCTGTCTTCCTACCCCCTGTACCACCAGGAGGGTACCAGCCCAACAACGCGCGCATTGTGGCCGACTCACTCGCCAACCTCTCAGCCAAGCACCTGCTGCCTCTCCAAGTCCCCCCTGCACCCTATTGATTGCCACAACCTGCTGCCGTCCTCATCTGCCGTCCTCTGCTGCCGTCCTCTGCTGCTGTCCTCCGCTGTTACCCTCACCTGCCTTCCTCACCTGCCTGCAAGCAGGCGTCCTGTACTTACCCGACATGCATGGTGTGTGAAAGAAAACAGTGGAACCTGCAGCTCCCCTGTGAGCCGTGCTGCCTTGTCAAACATGGTCTGTTTCGGGGCACAATGCCACCTGACAAGGGCCTGCATGGCGAGCAGTGAGCACGTTGATTAAACATACACCAGGTGTATACCAGGATCTCTATGGCGTAAACCTAGAAATATGTATATAAAGAAACCACGCTCAGCGGCAACACCTCATAGCGCTGACAAAGTCAGCCCATACATCCCATAAACGCCAGCAGGCTGAATAGCGCCTCTGACCTCGCACACCCGGCTGCACCCTCTCACAGTCAAACAGCGCAGCATCTTGAGCTGGGGTAGGTCCGCAGGCAGAGCCTCCAGCTGCTCGCACCCCTGCAGGTTCAGATCCCTGAGCCTCATCAGCCGTGCAAAGCTTGAGGGAAGGGAGCGGATGGAGCAGTGTTGCACAGTCAGCTCGTGCAGACATGCCAGCTGGGTGAGCGAGGCAGGGAGGTGCGAGAGTGAAGAGCACCTGGACAGCTTCAGCTTGAGCAACCTGGTCAGTGTACCCATGCCTTGAGGGAGGGAGGCAAGCTTGGGTGCGTGGAGTTGAAAGCAGGTCAGGTGGTGGAGCATGGTGATGGCTGCTGGCAGCTGCTGCAGCTCGTCAGCCCGCTGGATGCTCAGCCGTCGCAACTGCTTCAGAGCCAAGGCGACGTCATCAGGGAGGCTGATCATGCCTCCAGCGCTCCAGATGGTCAGGGAGTGCAGGTGGGGGAGGCACGTCAAGGGGAAAGGGAGCTCTGTCGAATCACTTGCTATCGCCAGCTCCAAGTGCTGCAGTCGAGTCAGACGAGACAAATTTCTGCTATCGTGTAGCCCATCCGCCAAGGTAACCAACTTGAGGCTCAGCGTGCTCAGCCTCGTCAGTGTGGAGATGGCTCCAATGCCTGTCAGAGCACTCCCCTGCTGGTCGTTCCCCAGGGTCAGCCCCTCCAGCGAGCGCGGCAGGGCGTGTGGATACTCCGTCAGCCGTGCGCATCCGCTCAGCTCCACCTCCCTCAGCCTCGCAAGCCTGCTGAGATCCCTGGGCACCCAGGAGAGCCCGCTGCAGTCACCAACTCTCAGGACCTGGAGTTCAGTGAGGGCTGTGATGGCCGCGGGAAGCGCCGTGATGTGCGGGCAGCACTGGATGCACAGCTCCTCCAGGCGCCTCAGCTGCCCCACGGCCGCCGGGAGCTCTGACACCATGCACTGGTCGAGCTCCAGGCGCGCCAGGGACGACAGCAGGGTGAACGACGTGGGGAGCGGCTCCTTCGCGCCGCTCCGCTTCAAGAGGAAGGTCTGGAGGTTGGTGAGGCGTCCGATGTCCGCCGGGAGCACTACATGCGGCGAATGCACGAGGCTGAGGTTCTGGAGGGAAGTGAGGCCAGCCGCGAAGCCGGCAGGCAGCTCGCGGAGGTCAGCGCAGTCCACCACGAGCAGCGTCTGCAGGGCCTTCAGCTGGCCCAAGGACGCGGGCAGGCTCGACAGCGGCAGACCGTGCAGCACTAGAGTTTTCAGAGCGGTCAGCCGTCCGAAGTTTTCGGGCAACAGGGTGACCCCGCCGCACATGGAAATAGTTAGGCTCTCTAAAAACCGCAACGACGTGATTTGCTCGGGCAGGTCGCCGTTGCACCAGCGGGCGCTCAGCTCCCGGACACGTGGCAGCAGCGCGTCGATATTGTCGGGAAGGCGCCCGAGGCAGTCGTAGTGGGAGAGCAGCAGGCGCTCGAGGCGGCTGCAGGACGACTCGGATAAGAGCAGCATGTCGGGCTTGGGGCCGTAGGCCTCGAACTCGAGCGACTTGAGCGACGACAGGCGCGCGAAGGAGAAGAAGGCGTGGCGACCGTCGTCTTCGCCGAGCTGCGTGTCGTCGAGGAAGGCGAGACTAACGAGGTTGGGCAAGCGGGCGAGGCGGAGCAGGCGGCCGTCGTCGAGTAACACGGCGTCGATGGCGAGATTCGCGATGGACGAAAGGTTCGCGAAGGCCGGCGCGTCGAGAGCAGACGCGTCGTTGAGGGTGAGTGTGTGCAGGTTGGTGAGGCTGAAGAAGGACGCGGGCAGACTGGTCTGTTTATGGAGGCAGCGCAGCGAAAGGCTCTCCATCCGCGTGCAGCCGCGGAACAGGTGGTCCAATCCGGCCGCCGTCACCGGGTGCTCGTTCTCGTCCTCGCTATAATCCGCGTCCGGCGTGATGCTCTCCCCACGTGGAGGACTCTCAGCTCGGGGCACGACGACGCGAGGTGCGCGAGGAACGCGTCGTCGACGGTCCCCGCGCTGCCGTTGCACAGATGCAGGCGAGTGAGGCGCGGGAAGCATGCGACGGCGTGCGAGAGGTCCTGCGGCGACACGACGCAGTTTTGCCGTACGCGCAGCGTGGTGACCTCAGTCCGTACGAGGCGGCGCCAGCGACGGCAGACGGCGGCCATGGCGAGGCTGCGAGCGGTGTCGGTGAAGGCCAGCGGAGTGCACGAGGAAACGACGCTCTCCTCGCGACGCACGACGTACCTGGGCTTGTCGAACATGGAGGGCCAGGGAACGTGGTGAGCGGATTGGCCAGCGCATTGGCCAGTGGCGGGCTCAGTGGGGTGCTTGGAGGGCCAGAGGAGCGGAATGAGGAGCTCGTCAGGCAGAGTGTGAATGGGCGTGCGGGACACCATGACTGGCTTCAAGGCGATCTCAATACGAGGCACGTAGGCGATAGTAAGCTTCTGTGCTGTGCAGTGAAAACCGGCTTCTATATACCTCTGGAAATATGTTCTCTAGAGTCCAGATGTTTGACGGAGCTGCTAGCACGATTCAAGTCAGTTGTTCCACGAACAACACAATTCTCCACTCCTTGTGATTCTCTTATCTTTCCCTCTGTAGAACCTTCCGCCTTCCCCCTTCCGCTCCCGCTGTTCAAATTTGAGCATCCAAGGGCATGACTCGGGATGTGCAAATTCGTGGGACGTGTTGGAGATGTGCGAACAGCGAAAAAACCAAGGCGACACGCCGAAACTCAGTTAGTGCTTGAATCAAATTCTCAACAAGAAACAAAACTTGTTATGAATTAATCAGAGTAATAACAGGTAGTGTAATAAAGGAGTCGTGATTCAAGAGTGTCGATACAAATGAGGGCTCAGGCATTTATGGGCACGAACAGAGCTAGCCGAGAACCACGCGAAAAGGTTGGGGCGGTCCGGGTGGCGAAAGCTACGGAAGCGCCGCGCGTCTTGTTAAATTATATATATATATATAATTGTAGGTTTGGTATGTCAAACATCTGTATTTGTCATGTTTGTATAGACTGTATAGGGTTACCGCTTAGAGGGTACAACACTTAGGTATATTTGTGTGTACTCTCACTTTACCATTATTCAATTCCAATTCTGATATGGTGTTACACGTAGGTAGGATCCCCCCCCCACCTACCGCTTCCGCTCATGCCCCCTAGCGCCCCTCCTGGGCCCCGTCGCGCTCCTCCCAGGCCCCGTCGCGCTGCTCCCAGGCCCCCTAGCGCCCCTCCTGGGCCCCGTCGCGCTCCTCCCAGGCCCCGTAGCGCCCCGTCGCGCCCCTCCTGGGCCCCGTAGCGCCCCTCCTGGGCCTCGTCGCGCCCCTCCTGGGCTTCGTAGCGCCCCTCCTCGGCCCTGTAACGCCCCTCCCAGGCCCCGTCGCGCCCCTCCCAGGCCCCGTCGCGCTCCTCCCAGGCCCCCTAGCGCCCCTCCTGGGCCCCGTCACGCTCCTCCCAGGTCCCGTAGCGCCCAGTCGCGCCCCTCCTGGGCCCCGTAGCGCCCCTCCTGGGCCTCGTCGCGCCCCTCCTGGGCTTCGTAGCGCCCCTCCTGGGCCCTGTAACGCCCCTCCCAGGCCCCGTCGCGCCCCTCCCAGGCCCCGTCGCGATCCTCCCAGGCGCCCTAGCGCCCCTCCTGGGCCCCGTCGCGCTCCTCCCAGGCCCCGTAGCGCCCCGTCGCGCCCCTCCTGGGCCCCGTAGCGCCCCTCCTGGGCCTCGTCGCGCCCCTCCTGGGCTTCGTAGCGCCCCTCCTAGGCCCTGTAACGCCCCTCCCAGGCCCCGTCGCGCCCCTCCCAGGCCCCGTCGCGCTCCTCCCAGGCCCCCTAGCGCCCCTCCTGGGCCCCGTCGCGCTCCTCCCAGGCCCCGTAGCGCCCCTCCTGGGCTCTGTCGCGCCCCTCCTGGGCCCCGTCGCGCCCCTCCCAGGCCCCGTCGCGCCCCTCCGTGGCTCCGTAGCGCCCCTACTGGGCCCCGTCGCGCCCTCCCTGGGCCCTGTAGCGCCCCTCCTGGGCCCCGTCGCACCCTGCCCGACCTTGTCGCACCCGCCCGGCCCCGTCGCGCCCGCCCGGCGCCGTCGCAGCCGCCCGGCCCCGTCGCGCCCGCCCGGCCCCGTCGCACCCGCCCGGCCCCGTCGCGCCCGCCCGGCCCCGTCGCAGCCGCCTGGCCCCGTCGCGCCCGCCCGGCCCCGTCGCAGCCGCCTGGCCCCGTCGCCCTTGCCTGGCCCCGTCGCAGCCGTCCGGCCCCGTCGCATCTGCCCGGCCCCGTCGCACCCTGCCCGGCCCCGTCGCAGCCGCCCGGCCGCCGTCCCGCTCGCCCGGCCCCGTCGCACCGACCCGGCCCTGCCGCACTCGCCCGGCCCCGTCGCCCCAGCCCGGCCCCGTCTCGCCCGCTCGGCCCCGTCGCCCCGTCCCGGCCCTGTCGCACCAGCCCGGTCCCGTCGCGCCCGCCCGGCCCCGTCGGGCCAGCCCCGGCCCCGTCGAGCCAGCCCCGGCCCCGTCCTCCGCACTGGTACGGTTCCCCCCCCCCCCCACCCCGCCCTGCTCCGTGCCGCCCCGCACCGCACTGTACCGCACTGCACCGCACTGCACCGCACTGCACCGCACCGCACTGCACTGCCCTGCACCGCACTGGACTGTTCCTGATGGCGGCGGAGCTTCGCTTCGACGCTGAAGGTCAGCCCCTAGAGTTCGAGGCGTGGCTTGCCGACCTCCGCCGCCAACTCACTGGCCAGCGGCAGGATGGTGAACCGCTAACCGCACACCTTGACGGTACGCTCCCCTGCCCAGACCCCCCTGCTATCCTGCCCGCTGACCCCACACCCACTTAGCGTGAGTCTACTGCTGCCACTGCCCGTGCGCGCTCTGTCTGGCTTTCTCGCGATGCTGTTGCCCAGCTTGCCATTAGCAACGCCCTTCCCCCATCCGAGCGTCCTCGCTTTAGGTCTCTCACTACTGCTCAGGCATACTTAGATGCTGTGATCAAGCGCTATTCCACCCCTCCGGCTGCCTCGGTGGGTCGCCTGATCCTTCCGATGCTCTTTCCTGACCTTGCATCTTTCCCCACTGTCTCTGACCTCGCTGCCCACCTGCGCTCGATAGATGAGACCTGGCGCGCTGCCTGCACTGACGCCCAGCTTAGAGCCCACCAGCCGCCCATTACCTCTACCCTCTACCTGCTTGCCACCCGCCTCCCTGACCGCCTTGCTGTCGCCCGCGACCGCTTTCTTAGCGTTCACCCCGCAGACCTCACCCTCACTGACTTTGTAGACACCCTGACTGTGATAGAGACCCGTCACCGCTCCATCGCCCAGGCGAGCGGTGTCGTGCCGGTCCCTATCTTTCAGGGTTGTGCCCCCGCTCAGTGCACCTTCTCCGACGGCTCTGCCGCAGTGGCTGAGACTGCTGCTGCAGCGCAGGTCCGTTCGGGGAAGGGCCGCCGCCCCAAGGCTGGGCGCGGCGGAGGAGGCGGCGGGGGTGTGGGCGGGGGTAGTGGTGGGGTCGGGTCGCCTGGTGCTGGAGTGGACGAGGGGACCCTGCCGAGTTCAGCTGAGTCGCCGCCCCTGCAGGTGCAGCAGCCGCAGCAGCCGCCGCAGTCGCAGCCTTCGCAGCAGCCGCAGCAGCCGTCGCAGACGCGGCAGACGAGTGTCCTCCCGCCAGGGTGGCCCGGCGCTGGCGGTGGCCGGGCGCGTGGTGGTGTGCCGCGTGGTGGCTCTGGCGGCGGGCGTTGTCAGTTTCAGATCCAGACCGGTCCTCGCCGCGGCTTCGTTTGCGGTAAGATCGGTCACTCCACTCCCCGCTGTTTTCGTCGCCTGGACGACCTCTTTCGTCAGCGCTTCGGCCCGTCGCCAGACCTCCCGGACTGGCACAGTTTGCTTAGTCGTCAGATTCAGATTTTTGATATGGACATGGATGCCATTGTTTCCGCTCTGCATGTGATGTATGCTGATGACCCTAGTGTGCTTCCCGCTTATTACTCACTGTTGCCTAGTGTAGGTGTGCCTAGCTTAGCCTCCCCTGCTGCGTCAGGCGTAGGATCCCCTGCTTTGTGTAGTCTTGGTGCTTCCGCCGTCGTTCCGTCGCCAGACCCCTCGGCTTCGCTGTCCTTCACCTTGGACTCTAGCGCCTCTCGGTGTTTCTTCCGCGACTCCACCACCCTGACGCCGCTTCCTGTTCCTGCTGCCGTTTCTCTTGCTGACCCCTCCGGCGGTCCGGTAGTCGCCCGCAGTTCCACCACCCTTCCCTGTCCGGCGGTTCCTTCGGGTTCTCTTACAGGTCTGCATATCCCCTCGTTCTCGAGGAACCTAGTTGGTGTCGGCTGCCTCCAGGACCTTGGCGTCACCACTACGTTCCCTGGCCACGAGCGGTATGCTGTCTGTACCGAGGCCGCCACTGGTGCCCCCCTGTCCACGTTCCCCCGGGACCCGGTGTCCGGCCTGTTCACTCTGGACACCGTGACCCCCCCGGCTGGAGCGCCCCCTCAGGTGGCTGCGTCTACCCAGGTTGCTGCTGCCTGCTCCTGTCGCTCCCTCACTCACCCGACCCTCCTGTGGCACCACCGCCTAGGTCACCCTGCGCTCCCGCGTCTGCGTCACATGTCCCAGCACGGTCTCGTCATTGGTCTCCCACGTTCGCTCCCCGCGTTTCCCTCCTCTCCAGCCCCACCTTGCACGCCTTGTGTCGAGGGTCGGCTTCGCCGTGCCCTTCATTCCTCCTCGTTTCCCCCTACCGCCGCGCCGCTGCAGACCCTGCACCTGGACGTCTGGGGCCCCGCCCCCGTCCATGGGCCGCGTCGAGAGCGCTACTTCCTTGTGCTTGTCGACGACTTCACTCGTTACACCACAGTCTTTCCACTGGAGCGCAAGGCCGACGTGCCTGGCGCTCTCATCCCCTGGCTTGTCTCTGCGCGTGTCCACCGCGGTCTCCCTGTCTTGCGTCTTCACTCAGACCGTGGTGGCGAGTTTGCCTCCGGTGTCCTTGGTCGCTTTTGTCGTGCGGAGGGCATCACCCAGACGTTCACCCTACCGGACTTCCCACAGCAGAATGGGGTCGCTGAGCGACGCATCGGTTTGGTCATGGAGGTCGCTCGCACCTCCATGATCCATGCCGGTGCACCCCATTTTCTGTGGCCATTCGCTGTGCGCTACGCTTCTCACCAGCTTAACCTGTGGCCGCACCCTCAGCAGCCGCAGGTTTCGCCGACCCGTCTTTGGACTGGGTCTCCTGGTGACGCGTCTGCGTTCCACGTCTGGGGCTGCCTTGCTCACGTCCGTGCCTCCGGCACGGACAAGCTCACTACCCGCACCCTTCCCTGCGTCTTCCTCGGTTTTCCCCTTGACGCGTCCGACTGGCACTTTTACCACCCGCCGTCTCACCGCTTCTTTCACTCTCGTGACATCACCTTTGACGAGTCCGTCTCCTACTACCGCCGCTTTCCCCACCGTGGTCCCCCGGTTACCCCCCCCCTGTTCCTGGTCACCCCTTCCCCGGTAGTACCTGCCCCTCCTCCTCCTCCTCCCCGTCCCGCCCCCTCTGGTGT